GCGGGGAGTCCCGGCCGGCGCGACACGCGGCCCGCCGGCCTCGGGGCCGGGGCGCCCGGACACCTCCTTCGTGGGGGGCAGGGTGGGGGGGGTCTGTGTCCAGAGATGAGCACCGGAGCCAGAGGGCGCCGCCGGCGGGGAGGGCGGGGGGGGGGCACCGGGAACGGGCGGGGGACGGAGCGGGGGACGGAGCGGGGGGGGCACCGGGAACGGGCGGGGGACGGAGCGGGGGGGGGGACGGAGCGGGGGACGGAGCGGGGGGGGGGAGCACCGGGAACGGGCGGGGGACGGAGCGGGGGACGGGGCGGGGGACGGGGCGGGGGGGGGGGCACCGGGAACGGGCGGGGACGGGAGCCCTCCTCCCGGCCCCCCGGAAAGCCAGGCCCCGAGGCCGCGCGGGCCCGGGCTGCCTCCTCCGCGCAGCGCCGGCCGCCGGGCCCCGCTCCCGCCCGTCCTGGAAGCCGTGGTCCCCACGCCCCGGTGGGGGTCGGGGCTGGGCCCGGGAGGCGCGGGCTCCGGCGCGGCTGCCCCGTGCGAACGGCTCCCGGCCCCAGGCCCGCGACCCCCCCGGCGCCGCCGCCACGCGCCCGCCCCGGGCCCGAAGCCCCCGGGGGGACGCTCGCCGCGGCGGGGCCCGGCAGGCCCGGCAGACTCACCGCGGCGGACGCAGGCGCGGGGCCTGGACGAGCTCCCAAAGCCGGCGCCGAGACCGCGGCCCCGAGACTCCGGGCAGGCGCGGGACCAGTCTGAGCGCGGCGCGGGCGGGGCGGGGCCTGGGCTGGATCTGGGCGGGGCCTGGGCTGGATCTGGGCGGGGCCGGGCTGGATCTGGGCGGGGTCGGGCTGGGTCTGGGCGGGGCCCGGGCTGAGGCTGAGCGGGGCGGGCGGGGGCGGAGCTCGGGCGGAGTCTGGGCGTGGCCAGGATGGGGACGGAGCCGGGCGGGGCGGGGCCTGCTCGGGGGCGGGGCCCGCTCGGGGGCGGGGCCCGGGCCGGGGTGGACCGCCCTGCCGGTCTGTTGGGGTCCCTGGACTTGCACCAGGATCTGGGACTCCGCGCTGCCCCGCGCTCCCGCGGCCCTTCCCGTCCTCTCGCTGGGCACGCCTGGTGGTGCTGACCGGGTGGCGCTGGACCGTGCCCCCGTGTCCTCCCGTGTGCCGGCACCGGGCAGGGCGCCCAGGGAGCCCCCAGGCCCTCCTCTGCGCCTGCCCCAGGGCCTGCCTCGGGGCTGAGCTGTTTCTGGGCCTCACGGCTGGGTGCGAGGCGCACAGGGCCGGGGCATGGAGGTGGTATCCTGGTTCTGTGGGACTGGTCTGGCCGAGCTAGTCCATCCTCCTCCTCCCTGGGTCGCAGGGATGCCTCCTGTACACCCCCCCCACATGGGCCAGGACCCCTAGAGAGGACAAGGACAGCCCAGGGAGCTTGTGCCTGCTGGCAGCCACAGGGGGCCAGGCAACCGGCCCTGCACCTCCGGCCACACAGGTGCTCAGGACCTGAGAAAATGAAGCCCTTCTCCTGACCTCTCAGGAGCGTCCTTCTCGCCCTATCTGCCTCCAAATGCCTGCAGAGCTCTCCCCTCCCCTTCCTTCCTCCCACCGTGTGTGTGTGTGTGTGTGTGTGTGTGTGTGTGTGTGTGTCTGTCTGTCTGTCTGTCTGTCTGTAAGTGCTGGGTCTGGACCCCAGTGACTGTGTATGTTCTTTAACCTTTTCTGCTCAAGGCTAGCACTCTGACACCAGAGCCACAGGTTGAGTAAAAATAAGTCTCTGGACTTGTCCACCCAGGTTGGCTGGGATCCTCAGGCCTCAGCCTTCTGTAGCTAGGGTTACAGGTGTGAGCCATCCGGCGCCATTCATCCAGCAGGCATTCACAGAGCACCTGGTGCTGGGGCCCTGCCCCTCCCCCCCAGCCCTGCCTTGGTGGACTGGCCCTTCCACTTTGGAGGGACCTACCTCACCCCTCCCCTCCTTCTGCCAGGGCCCTCCCGGGGAACAGTGGGCTGCTGAGTTTCTGCCACCTTTTTCTGACAGTCACGCCTCTCTAGCACATTTCTGTGGAGTCTTTCTGGGTGACAGCAAAGAGGGGGGTAGGGGTAGGGGAGGAGGGAGGGCAGGGAGGCAGGATGGAGAGCGAGGGGGTCTAGGGTAGGGCTGGGGCTGAGGCTGAGATACTCTGAAGTTTCTCCAAGGCTGGGGGTCATTGGGGCGCACTCTGCACATGCAAGGTGTGTGTGGTTGTGAGATGTGTGTGGTGTGTGGTTGTGCGTGGTGTGGTGTGTGGGTGTGTGTAGTTGGGGGTGGTGTGGGGTTGGGGGGATGGTATGTGATGTGTCTTCAGAGCTTGGGGTGAGCCATCTCCTTGCCTGGTCTCCGGAGACTCCCTCTTGCAGAATCATGGGATAGATCAACTTGGCAGGGTTCCAGGGGTTCATCCCTTGGGGCCTATGAACGTGGGGGCTCTGTGTGTGTTGTAAGGTGTCTGGGCCGCAGCGTGGTGATATTTGTGGAATGGTGTTCTGTAGCTGACCCGGGGAACGGGCAGTGGCCGGGCCCCTGCTGCATGGGGTCCCGGCTTCATGGCTTCACTCTGTCCTCCAGCCTGGAGACCATTCCCACTCCTCGTCCCGCACTGGGACCGCGCCAGCGCTCTGCTGGCCCCTACTGGGGAAGACGGGTGAGTTTCCCCAAAGGGGCACACACATTCCGTTGGGGCATTCCCCTCCAGTTTCTGGCCTGCTGTCTTCCTGTTAGTAACCTAAAACCACGGCTGGCCCGTGGCAGTGCCCTGCGGTGCCCGCGGAGGGGACCATGGCTGGATCCTGAGCCCCTTCAGGGAGGTCTTTGGGATTATGCACGTCCAGCCCAAGATCACTGCCTGCGCCAGACTGTAGGAAGAACTTACTGACCTTGTTTGGGGAAGCCCGGGCTCCTCACCCATCAGCTGGGAGCTGGGGGAGGACTGACATTGGGGTTTCCACTTGTGCGTCCATCTGTGCTCTGGGTCATCCCCTCAGCCGCTGCCTGGGAATCCAGGAAGGACAGGACAGGTGATAAGATCTTTCCAATGAGGGTCAGAAGAAACTTCCCCAGGAGAGGCACAGCAGGGCCTACTCAAGATAGACTGTACCCCGGGCAGCCATGGCAGGCTTCTCCTGACAGACTGCTCCCCAAGAAATGATAACATGGATAGCGTCTCAGGAACTCCCCCGTGATGGTCAGCCGGCCACACTCGGATCAGGGTGGCCTAGTAATTATGCATGCGTCTCACCCGTGCCCTGAGTCTTCCTCTAACCCAATGTGCAGGTCTGTACCTGAAGTGGCCGAAGTGCTTACCTTGCCTCTTTCATGGCTTCCTGTGATGCAATCATCAGACCTCCTTTCTCTGCCTTTCTCCATTCTCAAGTTTTTAGTTTTGTTTTGGTTGGAGGTTGAACTCAGGGCCTGGGTGCTATCCCTGACCCTTTTCTGCTCAAGGCTAGCGCTCTGCCACTTAAGCCACAGCTCCACTTCTGGTTTAATTGTGGTCAACTGGAAAGAGTCTCACAGACTTTCCTGCCCTGGCTGTTGTTTAACTGCAATCCTCAGATCTCAGCCTCCTGAGTAGCAAGGATTACAGGTATGAGCCACCAGCCCCGGCTAGAATTTGGCATGTTGATAGATAGATGCCTTGATATGTGGAATTCATGGAGTTTTTGGCCTGGAGCTGGAAACGACAGTTTTGAGACTTCTTTGGAATCCTCCACCTAGAAGATCCCAACGGAGCCACGCCATGCCAGGGTTTTGCCCATGACCACGGGCATCCGCACCCAGCCATCCTGGCAGAGCAGGTGACACAGGAAAGCTAGCGGTCAATGGTGTGACTTGGGCCCAGGCCTGTTAGGAAAATGGAGGAGAAAGGATGGAGACAGGCTGGACTCGATCTTCCACAGGAGAGGACTGCACTAAGGTAGCAGCAAGGGACACAGCCTTCCCGAGGTCTGTGAGTTGAGAGGGTTTTCTGGGGTCTGAGCAAGGCAGCATCGGTGAATGAAAAAGCCACCAGGTCAAGGGAGGCGGCGCTTTTCCACTGGGGCCATGGTGGCATGTTTACAGCCAGGCTGAGGCCAATGGCCCTGCTGGGTCAGGCAGTCTGCGCTCATCTTTGCTGGCTTGCTGGGATGGGCCTGTGGCGTTATCTGCATCTGCAGTTGTGTGGATGCTGAGGGGTAGCTCCTGGCCCACGGCCAGCCTGTCCCAGGGGTTCCCCACACGTGCTCCGCAGGGGTGGGGGCCGGATGCCGTCTCAAAGCTTCTCCAGGTGGATCCACATGGATGTGCTGCTACTCCAGGGCCTGGAGGACACAGACACGCTGGACAGAGGGACCGTCCAGAGTCGCTTCCCCCGGCACGGGAGGGGTCTCCTGCCTCATGGCTCGGGGCGCTGGCCCTCGGCCATCGGGAGGATGGCCTTCGCCGGTCTGGGCAGCTGTCTGTGGGTGTGACCTTTGTCCTGTAGAGGTCACAGGGCTGGAGCACCAGAAGGTCTTCTCCCCAGAACTTCTGGACTGTGGCCAGGCCTCCATCTGTTTGGGTTTCCAGGTCTAGCATTCCTGGGTCCTTGCGGGAGTTTTGTGACTCACACACATTGTGCTGCCCTCAGCTGGGCAACCGATTTTCAGGTTGGTTGGCGCTGCGGGCCTCGGCCTCGGCATCTCCCCCACCCTCCCACGGGACTGGGTGGGGTCAGGAACAATGCTGGCCCTCCTGCATTCAGGGGGCGGGGGAGGAAGAGCTGACAGGAAATCGAGACCAATAAGAAATGTAAAAACACAACCAGGATGTGAAAGCTGAAAGATCGAGCCTGGGCTTCCCTCCCCTCCCTCCCCTTTCAGATGTTAAGGTTCTGGATTAGAAGACACAGAGCTCGCTGCTCCGCCTCTTCCCTCCCCTCCCTCCCAACCGCCCCCCTTCTCCCCTCCCTCCCAACCGCCCCCCCTACAAAGGATCTGCCAAGGGCACATCCTGGAACTCACATCTATTGATGCTGTGTTTTGGATAAACCTAGGTCACATCTCCTTGCTTTGGGATAGTAATGAGACATATCTTGGGCAGATTTGGGCTGACACACTGCGGAATAATTGGGGTGGCATTCCTCCTCGAAGGGCCTGCCTCCCCGCCCTCGGCCTGTTCTGGGCATCCAAAGATGGACTATGACAGGTTGACCCCCACGCTGTGTTCCCAGGTGCACACAGACGTCAGGAAAGCCACCAAAGACAGGCACAGGCTGCCCGACACAGGCGGGCAATCCGATCACCTGAGCCTGGGGTGGGCCTGGCCTGAAAGACCCTGGCTGGGAGGCCAGGAAACGGTTAAGAGCTTGGAAGACAGAACTGTAGCCTGCCAAGGTCCAACCGTCCAGGCCAGACAGACGTAGAGCTGTTTGAACATTAAAAAAGCTTGAGGCCCTGGATAAGGGAATACTTAGCCTATTCTCTGCCTGCACCTGCAGCCACCTCCCCTCTTTATTCTAAACTCCTGTGACCCCTGTCTCCTTGCTCAGACCGGGATAAACACCCAACTCCTAGCCCAGTCTTTGCATAGTCTCCAAGCCCGTGGTGGGAAGCGGGAAGCCTGCCTCCTTGCTGGGCTATCTCGGTAAACAGGCCTCACCTGAGGAGGATCCAGTCCAGCCCATTTCCTTCCTTTCTCCTCCATTTTCCTAACACTCTGCTCGGAAAGGGTAGAGCCATGTCCAACCCTCCAGGTCTGAGTGTCTCTGCTCCCACATCTGTACTGTTCGCTCATGGCTTCCTCCTTTGCTCTTTATAAACCTGTGCTAAACTCTCACCATGCGAGGCCTCCTCTCCGCGAGCCCCTTGAATGCGTCTGCAGCCTACCCCTCAAGGCTCTGTAACCGCGCTGGAACTGGGAAGCTAGAGACCGCCCTCACCACTTCCCACCTTATCTCTTCTCCTTCCTACCCTGGGAGAGGGGTTGGATGACCCGTGGGACTCTCCTCTGCGGCCTTCAGAGCTCCACCTTCAGGCTGGAAAAGTCAGCGGTCCTGAGTGGGTTGGCCTTCCCCTTCCACTGAGCCATGATGCCCTCTGCAGCGGAGCTGTCCTGGGGGAGCAGAGGGAAGCTGAGGCCGGCAGAACTTTGACCCAGCAGCCTCCAGCCTCTCGCCTGCTGCTCCGCGCTCTCTTCTAGGGCTCCGGCGCAGGTTCCTTCCTCCCGAGGACTATGGTAGCGGTGAGGCCACGGCTGGTCCAGCAGCCCCTCAGCCAGCCAAGGGACAGGCATGCCCTGGAAATGGAGAATGAGGGGTTCTCTAAGGCCTCCTGTCCTTGAGAGAGGAAGAAGGCTGAGTAGCTGGTGGCCAACCACAGAAAAGCATTACCACTTATCCTTGCACCCGTGGGTTGCAAGGTAAATGCGACATGGCCAGATGCCCCTGAGTCGACCCAAAGATCAACTAAGGTGTGTGTGTCTGTGTGATCTGGCTGAGATTTTTTTGCTCAAGGCTGGCACTCTACCACTTGAGCCACACTTCCACTTCCGGCTTTTTGCTGGTGAATTGGAAGTAAGAGTCTCTCTGATTTGTCTGCCTATGCTGGCTTCCAAGGTGGATCCTTGGATCTCAGTCTCCAGAGCAGCTAGGAACGAAGGCTCTTACTCAAGCCTAAGATGACAGGGGTGGGGGTGGGAACCGTGAATCTTTTTTTTTTTTTTTTTGGTTGTGGGACTTGAACTCAGGATCTGGGTGCTGTCCCTGAGCTGTTTTACTCAAGGCTAGTGCTCTCCCCTTTGAGCCACAGCTACACTTCCAGTTTTCAAGTGGTTAATTGAAGATAAGAGTCTCATGCCCATGCTGGTTTCAAACCATGATCCTCAGATATCAGCTTCTGGAGGAGCTAGGGTTACAGGTGGGAGCCACCAGGGCCTGGCAGTAATAGATCTTTAACTTGACAAAACAAAGACCCAGGCCCTGACACTGCACTCTGAGATAAAGTTGATTGGATAATATTCCCCGACTGCCACCAGTCTCTGAACACTGTAATCAAGACAGCCAGGGGAGTCCTCACAGGGCCCCCCCGCGGGGTCCTGGCCTCTTCAGCCTCCTTACCCTTGCATACAAACCTGAGCTAAGGCGAGAAGAATTGTTCTCACCTTAGACACTGCTCTCAGGCCATTGCAATTTTTAAAATATAATTTTATTGTTATTAAGGTATTGTACAACCTCATAAGACAGGTAATGAGTACATTTCTTTTGTGGGCAATGACATAAAAGTGTATTCTTTTCTCTTCTTGCCAGTCCTGGGGCTTGAACTTAAGGCCTGGGTGCTGTCCCTAAGCCTCTTGGTGCTAAAGGCTAGCACTCTTATCATTTGAATCACAGCTCCACTTCCAGCTTTTTGTGAGTAGTTTATTGGAGCTAAGTCTCTCACAGACTTTCCTGCCCTATCTGGCTTTGAACTATGATCCTCGGATCTCAACCTCCTGAGTAGTATTCTCATCTTAATAGCTCAGTTTTGCTGTGGTTCTGCATCTTGTCTAAACCTACCTCAGGCCTACTGTGAAGGCAGAGGTACCGTCCCTTCTCCCCTAGCCTCTGACCTCCTGTCTCTCTGCCCCTAAGTCTTTCTCCTCTCCTGAGGTCGTGGGAGGCTCCTGGTACTAGGGTCTGGGGTCCAGGTCCTGTCTGGAGCTGCTCAGGCCGTGTCCTTTGTGGCTTGGGCCTTCTTGAGCCCTGACTGCCCAGCGTGAGCTGTGAGTGGCTGTGGGTGGCCTGACGCAGGGCTCGGGCCTCGCAGTGTCCAGGCCTGAGTGGGGCGGGACCAGACAGTGGGCCTGGTGCAACCTGGGGACCTTTGCCCTTTGCCCTAGTGACACAGAAGGGACTTTTCGTGTTGCAATCAGTGGCAGAGCCCACGCAGCCCTGGTGGAAGCCCGCTGGTGGCACGGCTGCTGGCCCTGTCCCCAGCTCTTCCCAGGTAGGTGTTCATGCCCTGGGTGCTGTGACTGGTTGTCCTTAATTTAATTACATGTTTGGACAGTGACACCCTAGTGGCTGGGCCCTACCACCTTCTGACTGGTTGTTGACTCCTAATCAGGTTCCTTCGGTCCTTCCAGGGGCACAGGAAGGTCACGAGAGCTAGAAGGGACCAGAGGGTGGGACAAGGGAAGAGGTTCTGCAAGAGTGTCGTTTTAGTGTGGGATTTGGGCTGTGAGGCCAAGATGCTGATTTGGGCTCCATCCCTACGTGGGCGCTGTCGGATGGCCACACCCTCTGAAGCACGGGGCTGTCCTGGGGTGGAGTGGCAGCCGGGGGGGGGGGGCACGCTGGGGGTCCTGTGTTTGGGTCAGGGCCTGGGCTGCCAGTCGTGCTGAGCAGTTTGGGTGGGCACGGGGAGGAGCCCGCAAGGCTGGCGCTGCCCTCGGGCATCAGCAGGGCATGAACTGGACAAATGAGCTGTGATCTTTGGCCTGTGATCTTTGGTCTTCAGAGAGGAAAGGAGGCGAGTGTCCATCCTCACAGAGGGAAGGAGGCGAGTGTCCATCCTCACAGAGGGAAGGAGGCGAGTGTCCATCCTCACAGAGGGAAGGAGGCGAGTGTCCATCCTCAGAGAGGGAAGGAGGCGAGCGTCCATCCTCAGAGGAGGGAAGGAGGCGAGTGTCCATCTTCAGGGAAGGAGGCGAGTGTCCATCCTCACAGAGGGAAGGAGGTGAGTGTCCATCCTCACAGAGGGAAGGAGGCGAGTGTCCATCCTCAGAGAGGGAAGGAGGCGAGTGTCCATCCTCACAGAGGGAAGGAGGCGAGTGTCCATCTTCAGGGAAGGAGGCGAGTGTCCATCCTCAGGAAAGGAGGCGAGTGTCCATCCTCAGAGAAGGAAGGAGGCGAGTGTCCATCCTCAGAGAGGGAAGGAGGCGAGTGTCCATCCTCAGAGAGGGAAGGAGGCGAGTGTCCATCTTCAGGGAAGGAGGCGAGTGTCCATCCTCAGGGAAGGACTTGGCATCTATGTGTGACAGTCCTCAGGGGTCTCACGTGAAGAGTCTCATCAGGTGAGGTTTTAGCAAGGACGCCTTTTGGGATAATAGGATACATGAGAGAGACATGGGCCGTGGGGTGGGAGGGGGCATTTTCTGCTGGCTTCCCCAAATGGTTGCCGTGCCCTGGAGCAATCCCAAACCACCAGGCAATGATTCTGGGGACCAAGATGGCGTCTATTGTCCAAGACATGGAGGTGGGATCCGTCATCCCCCAAACACAGGGGCTTAGGGGAGTTGACAGGCCCGCCCTCCTCAGTCCCCTCCCCCATCCCTGACAACTCCACTCCAGGCCAGTGCCCGGCAGCAGGAGGAGGCCGGCAGGAGGAGGAGGAGGCAGGAGGAGGCAGGCAGGAGGAGGCAGGAGGCAGGAGGAGGCAGGCAGGCGGCAGGCAGGAGGAGGAGGAGGAGGCAGGAGGAGGCAGGAGGAGGAGGAGGCAGGAGGAGGAGGAGGAGGAGGCAGGAGGAGGCAGGAGGAGGCAGGAGGAGGAGGCAGGAGGAGGTAGGAGGAGGTAGGAGGAGGCAGGAGGAGGAGGAGGCAGGAGGAGGAGGAGGAGGCAGGAGGAGGCAGGAGGAGGAGGAGGCAGGAGGAGGAGGAGGCAGGAGGAGGAGGAGGAGGTAGGAGGAGGCAGGAGGAGGAGGAGGCAGGAGGAGGAGGAGGCAGGAGGAGGAGGAGGCAGGAGGAGGAGGAGGCAGGAGGAGGCAGGCTCAGGGCAGGGCAGGAGGAGGCAGGCTCGGGGCATCTCGGCTCCCTCCACCCCGACTCACTGTAACTTGGTGTCTAAAAGGTGAAGGACGGGAGCAAGCTACTCACTGGTATTTTGTCTTATTCCATTTATTTCTGCTTTTACTTCCTTGTTCTAATGTTTGAGTTTGGCCCGTTTAATATTGACTAATTTTCCTTTCCCCGTCTCCTCCTCTAGAATGCCGTCTGGTGTCAGGATGGAGGAGTGGAACACGGACGGGAGGTTTGCAGGGGTGGTGAAATGCGTCAGGAGGTTGAGTGGTCTTGCAGAGGGTGGGGAGCGCGTGGGAGTCCCGCAGCGGCTTTTCTGCAGCAGAGGTCTGGGGTGGGCTGGCGCCCAGGGAAGGTCACCCGGCCTCTCAGCGACAGAGTTCTCTTGGAACAATAATCCGCTCTTGCTAGGAAGTTGCAAGTCTTTTCTTCACGTTTGTTTTCACAAGCATCCTGTGTGGCTGTCTTAAGCCTTTGCCACCCTCGACAAGTTCTAACATTGGAGGTGTTTCCTTGTTCCTTGGCTTAGAACTAACTCTGAGTTTCTCAGGGCTCTATAGGCCGTAGTTATGCCCAGGTGAGAAATGGCCAGAGGCTACTGGCTATTGATAACATCATCCCGGAGGCGCACAGAGATCAGGGAACACTTAGCTGGCAGCCGTCGGTGGCTCATGCCTGTAATCCTAGCTACAGAGGCTCTGATCTCTGGGTAGCTAGCAAAGAGCTGGGAGTGGAAGAGTGCCAGCCTTGAGCCAAAGAGCCAAGTGGGCGCAGAGACCCGGTTCACGCCCTGGACCTGCGTCAAGAAAAGAGCAACTTGACACGTGTGGTCAAGCATCTAATCAATGCTCCGCTGACTGACAGGGCTAGGAGGGCTGGTCTCATGGGAGGTGTGAGCTGGTATTCACCAAGGTGTTACGTAGATCTGCTCCTCCATGTTTCTGTCAGTCACCTGGAACCACGGTGAGTTGTGAAAAGACTCACCATAGCTCTGTTGCTCTGATACACGGCTCCTCGGAGCGGCACCCTGGCTGCTGCGTGTGTAACGTGTGTGTGTGTGTGGAGCTGAGCTGCACTGCCGTGAGCTGCCCCGTACTGAACCGGTCTCACCGACTGCTGCAGCAAAGATGTCCAATCCCAAGTTTCATCTCCACATCCTCGCGTCTGCCCAAACGCCTTCATCCGCTCCACACATTTGCTCATACACTCAAGTGTGGAAAGAGTCGTCCTTCCAGAGTGCAGAGCTCATGGCTTCCTCTTCCGCCTCCCACAGCCTCAGCCTGGCTGGAGTGGCCAAGTGAGCTCTTCCTCCCTTGCTGCTCGAGGTGGGGTCTGCTGACATTTTGCCCAGGCTGACCTGTGACTGAGATCCTCAGTAGTAGCCGGCATTGCAGGCGTGAGTCATGGCCTCCGGCTCCTGACTCCGTCTATTTAGGCAGGCTTCTAATAGTCTTGAATACTTTTAGGTAGAACTTTTAGAAATTGAACGATTTGGATTTTGCTGTATGTGGGTATGCACACATTTACATCTATACATGTATGTGTAATTTTTTCGTTGTGCTAGGACGGGAACCTAGGACTTTGTGCATGTCACAGAACACTCTGTTACTAAGAAATATCTTCAAGCCAAACAGGCCTTTCTTCCTCCTTCCCTCCCTTACTTCCCTCCTTCTTTCCCTTTCTTTCTTTCTCCCTCCCTCCCTCCCTCCCTCCCTCCCTCCCTCCCTCCGTCCCTCCCTCCGTCCCTCCCTCCCTCTCTTCTTCTTTCTTAGCTTACACTTGCTATGCAGAGGAGAATTTTACTGTGACACTTCCATACACTGATCTGATCAATCCTCTGCCTCCCTCACTCTCTACGCCCCCCTCCTCACGTCCTCCCTTCCCAGACAATTTCAACAGGCCCAAAGTGAGCTTTCATTCTGAGGAAAAGTCAAACAGCACACTTGTCCTAAAGCTGATTCTCTTATAATCTGGTAGCACTCAGGGGATTTAGACAGGTGGAGACCTATTTAAAACCACCCCTAGAACTCCTTTTTGGGGGACCCATTTGACATCCCAACTCCCTATAACCAGAACAATGAAGCCTCTTCCCACGGGGAAGCAGGAGGAATGTTCACTGGGTCCTCGGCTGGGCTCTGCTCCTGTGGGCTGTGGACACGGGGGACGGCGAGACAGACACAGGCCTGCACCCTGTGGTCGTGGGCTTCCTACTGCCCCGGGACCCGGGAGTGCCTGTGACCTTCCCACATGACCAGCGGCCTCGGTGACCCTCACCAGCTCCGGTCACCACACCAGCTCCATTGATCGCACCAGCTCAAGTGATCACACTAGATCCAGTGATCACACCAACCTCAGTCAGTGATCACATCAGCTTCAGTGACCACACCAACCTCAGTGATCACACCCACCTCAGTGATCACACCAACCTCAGCGATCACACCAGCTCCAGCGATCACACCAGGCCACCAGGCCAGTTCCAGTCACCATCTGACTCTGGTCACTACACCATCCCTGTGTTGGAGGAATGGCCTGGTGGACTCTTCCTGAAGACACAATGCCACAAACACCACCAATGGGCTCTGCAGCCATGAGCCCTGCAGCCAGCATCCTCGGATTTCTCTTTTGATGCGCGATTTACAGTTGAGGCTTTTGCTTTGGTACAGCGGCTTGCCCGTCTTAGCTCGTTAGCGCTCACTAACTATGAACGCAAATGGAAAACCCCAATAATGGGAAAGGACAGAGACAGGGCGTTAGGAGCCTACTTTCTGCCTCAGTGAGTGTTCCGATACCTCGCTACCTCACAGCACAGTATGCAAGCTTTGGAAAAGCACGAAGCCAGATCTGTTCCTCTGCCAACAGGAAACCAATGAGAGCAACTGCAAAATGACCCTTTATTACTGGAGTCTTTTCTTCCCTTTGATTTTGAACTAAGCAATAAGATTTGGTTATGCTCACAAAATCTAGACTTCTTACCCCAAACAATGAGACACATCAAGTTATTAGCAATGAATGGTGAATGGGTTGCTGAAGAGAGACCGCCATGCGCTTCAGGCAGGAAGGAGTTTATTTGGGAGAGCCAAACTTCCGGCCTTGCAAGATGGTGGCATGTTTGGGCTGGGAAGGTAGCTCAGCGGTAGAGTGCATGCCTTGCCAGATGGTGGCATGTAGAAGGAGGGCCATGGTGGGGTGGGGGAGGTGTGGCTGCAGCCGTGAGTTGGCGCCACCGAGGCTGAGGACGTGACCGTGACCGCAGAGCCCAGGGACCTACCACTGCCCCCGGCTGCACCGGGCCCTGTCACAGGGGCTGGGCCGGGCCTAACGAATAGAGTTACAATATGTCTTTTTCTTAGAATTAGCTTTCCATGTGGGTCACAGCCACAGAATTAAGTCAGTCAGGAGAAAAATTAGAATGGAAAGGTAATCAATTATTCCATTGAGCACAGATGATCCTAGACCCAGAACATGTTAGTCTGATTAAGAAGCACCATGGGGGCTGGGGAGTGAGGCTCAGGCCCTGCACTGCCACAAGAAAAGCACGGTGCTGCTCTTGAGTCTGGTTCAGTAGTTGCTTCCGTCACCTGATCATTTATCTTCTCTAACTGATGCAATGCCCCCCCCCCTTTTTGGTGCCAGTCCTGGGGCTTGAACTCATAGTCTGGGCACTGCCCCTGAGTTTTTTTCTCCCAAGTCTGTTGCTCTACCATGTGAGCCGCAGCTCCACTTCCAGCTTTTTACTGGTTCATTGGAGATAAGAGTCTCACCGACTTGCCTGCCCAAGCTGACTTCAAACTGTGACCCTCTGATTTTGGCCTCTTGAGTAGCTAGGGTGGCAGCGTGAGCCGCCAGTGCCTGGTGAGCCATCCTTTCTTTGAAGGGATGTCCAGACATCAGTGACCAGAGTTGGATGAGTAGGTCACTCTCAAAGTCTCTGAGCCCAGCTGATTAAACAGTAGAATAGACAGGGTGCTGGTGGCTCATGTCTGCAATCCTAGATACTCAGGAGGCTGAGATCTGAGGATCACAGCTTGAAGCCAGCCTGAACAGGACAGTTCCTTATCACAGATGAGCCACCGAAGAGCTGGAAGTGGAGCTGTGGCTCAAGTAGTAGAGTGCTACCCAACCACTGGCTCAGGGACAGCACCCAGGCCCTGAGGTCAAGCCTCAGAATCAGGTAAAAAAAAAATAATAAACAGCCCCAAAACAAACAACCAAACCAAACCAAAGCAAAAGCAGAAAACAAACAAAATGGACAACCAGAAGCAGTGTAGCATGACAAAACATACCAGGCTTTAGATCAAAGGCAGACACTTAGCACAAACCAACCCCGACCTACCTTTTCACAGTAGACGCCTGCGATGTGAAACGCGTCTCGCACCTGCCAGCAGGCGTGCCAGGTGAGGCCTGCCTGGCGTCCCAGGCTTTCCCGTGTACGGTCTTGGTCTTGGCCTTGACCTGTCCTCTAGCTCTTTCCTGTGACAACTTGGAGAGCTCGCACTGCAGGTTGGGCAGTGGTGGCGCGTCACCGCTCGGCCGTCTGGGAAGGAGATGTCTGGCAGCGCGGGAGGTGACTAATGGGCCGGTCATTTCCGTCACCTGGAGAAGGACAGGATTCTCATCCTGAGCAGGACAGTGTGGGTGCCCGGGGTTTCATCGCCGGGCGCTGGGCACCATGAGCTATAATTAGCTGAGTGGGCCGCGTGCCCACAGACTAAATGCTGGGCACGGTGGGCGGGCGGGGCCGGTAGGAGGGGGCCTCCCAGGAGGAAGGAGGGCGCTGGGCTGCCCTTGCAGGGGGTTTTGGGACCCCAGCCCCTCTCCGTTTTCTTGGTCAAGAGGCGATTCCTCCCCCTGCCCCCCTTGCCAAACATCCCTGCTGTGATGTCTGCCCCGGGCCCCGGGGAGCCCACCCAGGTGAGCCCGGATGGAAGCCGGACCAGAGGAAGCGTTCGTCCTTTACGTGGATGGCCTCAGGTAGTTTGTCATGGTGGCCGAAAGCCAGCCACGTGCAGTTTAAAACTTGTGAATGAATTCCGGAAGTTTCCACTGACTAGGCGCCGGGGCTTGCGGCATGGGGAAGGGGCTCTGCCTGGCTCCCGTGCCACTTCAGCCAGGGCCACGGGACGGTTTTGCAGCCGCCAGGCCCCGCGGGGAGGAAGCACGTGAACACCAGCCCCGGTCTGTCCCGCCGCCCGCTCTGGGCTGTCCACGGGCAGAAGCGCCTCCCCACCCCCCCCACACCGAGCCGCTGCCAGAGCTGCGGACGCGGGCTCAGGGCAGCAGGCGGCGTTCCCACGCCTTCCCACGGGCAGGCCCCGCCTGTCCCAGGGGAGGGGCTGCTGCTGGAAGGGGGGGTGAGGACTGGACCTTGTGAAGGGTCCCCTGCCTGGGCGGGGGGGGGGGGGTTCACCCCTCCTCCAAACAGCCTCACCATCTCTGTAAAGGCCTCCGGACATCAGAATGGGGCCTCGGAATCCACCCGCTGTGGTGGGGACGGGGCCATGCCAATAATGGCCTCTGCGCCCGCCCTCTCCCTGGGAACCCCCTGGGGTCTCCGGACTTCCTCCTCTGCCCCGTCTTCTTCTGCCTCCTTGTTGCCTGAAGGCCGGAGCTGCTATCTCCTCCTCTTCCTCCTTCTTCCTCCTCCTCCTTCCCTCTTCTCCTTCCTCTTCCTCCTTCTTATAACTCTCCTTTATGTGTATCTGTGTGTGCTGATCCTGGAGCTTGAACTCAGGGCCTGAGCTCTGTCCCTTAGCTTTTTTGGCCAAAGGCTGGCACTCTACCATGTGAGCCACAGCTCTACATCGGGCTTTTTGTTAGTTCATTAGAAATGAGAGTCTCACCAATTCCTGCTCAAGCTGGCTTCGAACCGGCTCCACACTGGCTGTGAACGGTGATCCTGTCTCAGGTTGCAGAGCAGCTAGGGTTACAGGCACGAGCCCCCAATGCGGCTCATTCCTGAGCACTGCAAGGGCAGACAGGCAGGCAAGCCGTGAACCGTGAAGAGCAGCCGGGTTTAGTTTTTGCTCTGTAGGTTGAGGGGCCTTTGGGGTGAGGGGCGTGGGCGCTGCTGGGGCGGCCCGCGGCTCCTCTCGGCAGGTGTGGCTGGGGGCGTCACCCCTGTGGTGGGAAGTGTTAACCACTGTCACTGTTTCCTTTCAGAGACCTTGTGATCTCCCGCTATCGCTCCGCTGTCTCACATTTTCCCTCTAAGGGTGGGGGCTTGAATGTTTTCCATTTCTGGTTTCTTTTGCCAGCATGCACCGGGGTTCAGGGCTACTATGGGCCTCCCTTCTCTGGGGCCCAGGCCTCCTCTCCCTGCCCCCACCCTCCACCCTGCTCCATTCCCGTGCACACTCGCCAGGCCCAGCCCTGGCCTCTGTGCGCCCTCTGGTGGCCATGGCCCCCACGGACAGCCAGCTTGGCCACGGCGAGCTCACTCCTGTGGACTCTGGCCCAGTGGGTAGGGCTGTGGACCGCAGGCAGCCCAGGACGTGAGCTGGCCCTTCCCTTCCCCGAGGCTGCTTATCCCCGAGCCTGGCCCTGGCCCAGCAGTGTCTCCCGTTCCCTTCCTCTCTCGGGTGACGGGGCTGAGGCGTCTTCATGGTGTCCCGGGGTAGAGCCCCCGGGAGGTGCTGGCAGCCCGGTCTCCTCAGCCGTCCTGTGCTCTGCCTCTAGATTGGATAAACACCTTTGGAAACACCTCAGGATATAAAACCACTGCTCAACAAACAGCTTTTCTATATACCAGTCATGAGCAATGGGAAGGAAGTCACGGTAGCCCTTGAGGACACTCACATAACTAGTTAACGGAGGGAGCGAAAGACCTCTGCGATAACAAGCGTGAAATTTCAAAGACACTGAAGAGCACACAGAAGACAGAACAAGTTCCCGTGCTCATGGACCAGCAGAATCAAGGCCAGGCGCGTGCCACCCTGCCAGCGCCATCTGCGGAGTCCATGTCGTACCTGTCAAGGTCTGCAAGGCCACGCGTCGCAGAAAGAAACAATCACGAAGCTTAGAAGGAAGCATAAGAGACCCCAGTAGTCACCTAGATCCCGAGTAAAATAAACAGCGCCGGGGGTTATCACAATATTGGATTTCACATTATACTACAGAGCCATAGTAACAAAAGAGCTGGGTACCGGTAGGAACCCTCCAGACCTGTGGAGCAGCCTGGAGACCAGGAACAAAGCCCCACAGCTAGAGCCACCTAACAAAGGAGCCAGAATCAGACATGGCAGAAACAGACCCCTTCACCAGATGGACTAGCTACTGGAGTCTCATTTGTTTATTTAAAAGTGTTTGCTTTTATTGCTTTAAAAGAGGCTAGAATGTAAGACAGGCACAATGTGTGATGTCCAGTTACGAACGGCTGACCCCAGCAGAGGCCTGCACCCGGCCACCACCGGTCACCGAGTCTCCCGGAAGGGAGGCTGCTCATGAAGTCTAGTGAGGCCCTGCGCCACTGCCCGCACCCCAGCATCCTGGGCGCTGTGTCCCACACAGCGATAAGCCACTGAGTCATAAAGTTCAGGGAAGCTTGAGAGAATGCCGTGCATCCCTGACCCAGTGTCTCCCGCCCGGCACCAGAGACACCGGGGGCTTGGCTGCATGTCCAGCTTGGATCCCAGGGCGGGGCCTGGCCGTCCCCAGCAGAGCTTCGCCAGGGCCTGTGCTGCCCCTCACCTTCCTGCCCTCTGAACACCAGCTGAGGACCACTTCCTTCCTGGCTCCCGGGAAGAGCTGCAGAGGTTGGTTCCTAATACATTTCTGTCTCTCAGGTAATAATAACAACAATAATAGAACATTCTTTCCCATCTGAGCGATGTGTTTCCTGCCGGGAAGGGCCGGAGGGAAGAGAATCTCTTCAAGCCACTCTCAGCTGAGGGCAGAGAAATGGAGGCAGATGTGAGTTTTACCTTGAGCACTAGTGAGTATGCATTTCACATCCTTTGAGGTGGGCAACGGGAGGGAATTGTTTTGGACAACTGTACGGTTGTTTTGAGCTGTGATCAACACCAGCTACGGAGAGAAGGGAGATTCTTCGAGGTCAGTAGTAAAAGAAGGGCACGTCTCCTGGGCGGGGCTTGGGAGCTGAGTGTGGAGACCCCGGCCCTTCCCCACCCCGGAGTTTCTTGGGGCCTGGTGTGGCCACCTCCCCCTGACCCCCCCTCCACCGGGGGGAATCCTGGTTTAGACGTGGCTGTGATGGTACCATCCATTCTTCTGAGAGGATTTGACCAAGATATGGCCAACAAGACTGGTGAACACACGGAAGAGCCTGGCATCAGGTTTATGAGTTTGTGCCAACCCAAACAGAACAAACTGAAGCGGGAACGCGGGACGGCTCTGGGTCTCGGGCAAGCCGCCCCCAGCGAGGAGCCACCGCAGGACAGCGCGCCACGGCCTTGTTGGCAGCAAGGAAACTCCGGGGCAAGAAATACTGGGTTAGAAACGGAGGGCGTGAGGTAGGTGAAGAGACTGGAAAAATGCCGGGCGCAGACACGCGCAGACCCGTGCGCCCATGTCTGTGCCCGGGGTGGCGGGCTGGGGAGAGCTCATTCCCCTGCCCGGCCGCCAGGCCCGCGGGCCACTGGCTCACGCACGGGCTTCTGCCGGCCCCACTGTGAGGTCTGAGAGGGAATGCTGCAAGCACCGTTTGTGCTCCTCCAGAGCACGCTCTCGGCGGCCTTCTGAAGAGAACGCCAGGGGAAATTTGGGGAAGAAAATATTGAAGTTCACCATGGTTTCTTTGGGCCATTGGACTGGACTCTCCCGTCAAGAGATAACAACAAGGCTTGTGCAAAAGGGATTTGCAATCTTTTTTTTTTTTGGTTGGTCATGGGCTTGAACTTTGGGCCTAGGCACTTTTCCTTAGCTCCTCAGCTCAAGGCTAGCACTCTGCCACTTGAGCCACAGCACCACTTCTGGTTTTCTGGTGGTTCATTGGACATAAGAGTCTCACAGACTTTCCTTCCTGCGCTGGCTTTGAACCGCAATCCTCAGATCTCAGCCTCCTGAGTAGCTAGGATGACAGGCATGAGCCCCGAGCCCGGCATGATCTGCAATCTGAAAGACAATGAACGTGTTGTGGGTTTCCCTACGCGGGGTCTGCGTGGCTGACCGTGCAGAGTGGCTCTGGAGAGTGGCTGACCGTGCACAGTGGCTCTGGAGAGTGGCTGACCGTGCAGAGTGGCTCTGGAGAGTGGCTGACCGTGCAGAGTGGCTCTGGAGAGTGGCTGACCGTGCACAGTGGCTCTGGAGAGTGGCTGACCGTGCACAGTGGCTCTGGAGAGTGGCTGACCGTGCACAGTGGCTCTGGAGAGTGGCTGACCGTGCAGAGTGGCTCTGGAGCGTGGCTGACCGTGCAGAGTGGCTCTGGAGCGTGGCCGACAGCGCATAGCTGCACAGCATGGTAGGAATCCAGCCTGTCTCTGCAGAGACACTCACAATGCCGTTGTGACCAAATGCTGCAGGGAACACCTCCGGACTGGCGCTGAGGGCGACCCCAGTGCGCATGCTCTCCTCGCCAAGCCTGCGAGCTGTGCCCTTGCCCACACCCGGGGCCACGTGCTCAGGAAGGCTCTTGGCACCTGTGCCGGGTACTGTGTGGCCAGCCCCCAAGGCCTGGGGTCTCTGGGCAGGAGGCAGGGAGAGGAAGGCAGGCAGCGCCACTCTGGGCTCACCGTACAGAGTGGAGCTGGGGGTTCATGATTCCGGAGAGGAGAGGTAATAACAATCAGTTTTTGTCATAAAGCAAGACACAGCTGCGATGTTGAAATCCAGCGTCTGGTGGAGCAGGCGGGTCTGGGGACGAGCCCGCGGGCTCGCTGCGGGTCTGGGGACGAGCCCGCGGGCCCGCTGCGGGTCTGGGGACGAGCCCGCGGGCCCGCTGCGGGTCTGGGGACGAGCCCGCGGGCCCGCTGCGGGTCTGCTTCCGTGTTTCTGTCTGGCTCACAGCGTCTCCTTTGGTAAGTGCTATGTCCACACGGGTGGAACTGTGACCCCTCAGCCAATTCACCCCCACGCACAGCATCACTGCTGGTTATTGCCAAGTTCTGTTGGGGAAGGGAAGCTGGCTCAGAGTGGTCGTCTGCGCAGGCTCCTTGTGCTGCCTTCCCCGCGCCAGGCCTGTCGGAGGCAGACGCGCCGTGCGTGGAAGGCAGCAGCCGCGCTCCAGGGAGGGTGATGTGAGGTGACTTAAGTGAGCCGAGGTCGCTCGCAATGGAAAACACGCGATCTGCTGAACACTTCTTGTTTGATGGGCTTCGCTTTCGGTCAGAGTTTAGAGTTGTGGTGCGCACCGTTCTATCCCTGGCTAAGAATGGAAGCCGTTCCCACCACGCTTTAGGATGGACATCTTTTGTCGTCATTGCTTTAAGGATGTCAACGCCATAGCTTACTATTTTTGCACACAGGTGGAGGGGAGGGATTTTCACTAAAAGCTGAGTGTTTTTGATGATTGAGAAGGTGGAGTTCAGGCACCATGTCTGTATTGCACCTGGTCCTGGTGTTCTGACAAGAGGAGTTGACTCCGCAGCTGGGCACCCTGAGGCACGTGCCGGCCAGGGTCACTGAGCCGAAGGCCGGGCTGCCGTGGACCTGGGCCTCCTCCGGTGGTCCCCACAGCTCCTCTGTCCCCCCTCTCCTGGTGTGTCCCCAGGGTCCCGGCTGCTGCTCCTGCGTGGTTGTTGCACAGTGGTTTCTGAGCGGCCTCGGTGGGAGGATGGACGCGGCGGCCTCCCAGGCTCCGCCCCGCGGCCCGCCCCGCGGCCCGCCCTCCTGTTGGAGGTAATGGGGGGTGGGGCTGAACGATGGGCCAAGGTCGGCACCTCCCACCCCGCAGGCGCGGCTGCTGTGGGCGGGTGTGGAGCTGAGGTTTGCTGACTTACAGAGCTGAGTTTTATTTATTTTTGACCCCTCAGGGGCTGGTATGAGGTAACCCGGCCTAATCACTTGAGATTCTCTTGGAGCAGAATGGAATGTTCTGCCCACCCAAAGAGTTA